TCCCGCCTTCCGCCCCGCCGAGGCCCGCTCCCGCTCGCCCTCCCGCCCGCCCCGGGGGGGGGTACCTTGCGCTTCACTTCCGGGTCCACCTTGAGGAGGGAGGCCATGGCGGGGCGGGGGGCGCGTCGGGCTCCGTCTCTCTCCGTCCCTCGCGCGCGACCACCCGAGCGAGCCGCCGGCTTGGATGTCGCCGGAAGTGACGACATGTCGCCTCGCCGCCTCCCCGCGCCAGCCAATGGCTGAAGCGGCCGCCAGGCAACGTGGGCGGCCCGGCGCCGGAGAAGCCGCTTCCGGCCCGCCGGCCTCCTCGGCCCCCGGGAGCCGCGCCACGCTACGCCACGCTTGTCTCCCTCCGGCCGGCCCGGACGCGACGTTCCCCACACACACCTACCCACCTACCTACCTACCTGCGCGGCAGAGCGCGCCTCCCCCGCCGCCCTGAACCGGGGGTCCCTTCTTTCCTTCCTTCCCCAGGCGGGGCCCGCTCCTGAGGGGTGGGGTGGGGGGGGAGAGGGCCTCTGGGGCCGCAACTTCCGGAGACCCGCTCGGAAACACGGCTCCGAGAGAGAGCCGCCACCCCTGGTGACAGACAAGACCGCACGAGGGTCTCGAAAAATCGGGCCCGAGGAGGCCGAGTCCCCGCGGTTGTCATGGCGACGGCGAGGGAGGCGGCCATTTTCCCCATCTCCCCCGTGAGGGGGGTGTGTGTGGATGTGACCTTTGCCCCGGAAGAAGACGCTTCCCTGAAGGCAGGCCTGAAGCGCTCTTGCCTGGAGGAAGGATATCCGGTTACTTCCCGAGGTCATTCTTAAAACCCCCCCCCCGCCTGTCAAAGAGGGAACGAAAAGGCCCCGCGTGGGGCTGTGAGGCGCGCCGCCGCCCTCCCCCAGCCGCCTGGAGGAGAAGGAACCCCACCCCCACCCGGGGGGGGGGGGGACTGAAGAAGCTCGCACAGGACAATCCCGCCGTGTAGGCCGGGTCTCCTTAGCCCAGAAAAGGCCGGGGAAATAAACGCCCGGAAGTCGCTCCACGTGTCCCGCTCTAGGCTCTCCGTCTCTATGGCTTGGGCCCGGAAAGGGACGGCGGAGGGAAGCGCGGCGCAGAGCCGGAAGTGCCCAGGGGACCCGGCCGCCCGCAGCCTCCTCCGGCCCTCCCGGGAGCCCCGGAGGTGAGTCCCGACCGAGTGAGCAGCGGAGGGGGGCCCGTTGGCTGCCTTCCGCCCTCCTGGCCCGGGGGACGCGCCGAGCCGCCGCACCGCTTCCGAGCAACCTCTGGGCGGAGGAAGGCGCGCGACACCCCCCTCCCCGCCGGCTGCGTCCCCGCGCGGCCGTCCCGGGCTGGGCAGCAGCTTCTGCCGAGCCCCGCGAAGCTCCGTGCCAGGAGCCCGAGCGGGTTGCGGGCGGAGGCAGGCCAGGCCCGCTTCTGGCAGCGTCGTTCTCTGCCCCCCTCCTCTAGGGATGGAAGGCTCCAAGTCGCCCACCTGCACCACGCAGGTCAGCTTCGTGTGCCAGCGCTGCAGCCAGCCCCTGAAACTGGACACCTCTTTCAAGATCCTGGACAAAGTCACCATCCAAGAGCTGACAGGTAAAGAGGTGCTGGAGGGAGGGAACGGCCAGGAGCCAGGATAGGCCGAGGCAGCTTCCCGGCTGGACCGAGGGGTCCCGCGGGCGCACAGGGGCTTCTAGGAAGGATGTCAGCCGGGCTCCCGGGCAATGTTCCCTCCAAGCTGTGGAGTCCTGTGGGCAAAAATTCCACTTTGTGAGCTCCTGGCATTAAAGTTGAGCTAAGACAAAAATGTATGAGCCGAAGGCTAAAAAACTGAGCTAGCTCACACAAACTCAGCTTAGAGGGAACTCTGCTCCCGAGCCCTGAGCTGCGGAGCCTGTCTGCGGGCAGTAGTTCAGGAAGAGTCTCTGTGTACGTGCAGAATGCTCTTCTGCCACCACCGCATCCCCTTCACAGAGCAAGGTGTCAGTAACCACTGTTTTCTGTTTAGCTCCTCTGCTTACTGCTGCTCCGGCAAAACCAGGGGATGCACAAGAGGAAGAGACAACTTTGACAGAGGTAAAAGAGCCTGGCTTGTGGGGTAAAACTATGCAACCTTGTAGTTAGCCACTGCTTTCTAAATAAGGGCTGTTTGGGCACATAGCTTGCAAAGCCTATCGTGACGCCTACTTACGTGCAGCTGGGTGGGGTGGTAAAATTGGGCTGATGCAGGTTATGTAGTTACCTGCAAGGCTGTGTGCTAGAGGCAAGCAGGTTGATACCTGCATGGTGAGCACCTATGACCAGGTGTCACACGGAATTTCTTTCTCAGGAAGCCTTTGTTGAAAACCGCCAGGATGGTGTGTCCAGAAGATTCATTCCTCCTGCCAGGTATTTACTGCCATTGTGTTTTTGCTGTAAATATGTCTTTTCATATGTTACAAATCCTTCCATTGAACTCACCTGTGGAACAGCTAGGCATGAAATTGCAGGGGAAGGAGGTAGGGAGTTAAGACTGTTGTTTTCTTCTTGTTCTATATGCATTCACACATCGTGCCGTAAAGTGGGGCTGGGATCTGCAGGGTCCAACTGACGACAATGTAAATAAGCATCTCTATTCTACTCCCTGTACTTGTGAGAGTGTGCTCTTTCTTTAAAATGTGTGTTCTTAAGTATTGGCCTAAATTTTAAGCTGGTTCCTTATGTACTTGTTTACTGCAGACTGCTGGCCTGCACCTGGAGAAGTAACTGGGGTTGGGCTCATATAGTTGAAGGGAAGCAAAAATGATGGCATCTGACTCATGTGCTGTGGGCCAGACCCTTCCACCAGCCCTGACCCTGGTATGTCCCTGGGTGAGAGGTGTTATGTAAAGCTTGCTTGTGCAACAGCGATTCCAGATGCCTCGAGTGAAAGAGCGAGGCTGCCCGTGCAGGAAAGCCAGGGGAGTTGATAACTGACACACCACTTGAACTAGAGAAGCTGATGTTCTTCCGTTAGGAGCCTAACGGGCGGGGCGGCGGTGGGGACCCAGCGTTAAGTCTCCCTGGTCTGCCTCTCTTCTTTTTTCCAGCCAGCCAACTGGGGCCCCAAATACAAATCTGTTATGTGATGGGGAAGATTTAGACAAACCTCAGCAGGCTTTGCTCATAAGATATGGAAGGTAAACTGTTGCTTGCTCATTTCCTACTCTGGGTACACCTTTTAAGTTTAGGACCAGCGAGAGGCTAAGTGGGGCGCATGGGTGAGCTGCTCTGATTGAAGGCGCTGGTAGCCCTGCGCAGGAATGAATGCGGATCGATCCCGTTGTGTTTTCCAGGATGATGTCAACAGAAAGTGCCAACAGCTTCACCCTGATTGGGGAGGCCTCTGATGGAGGCACCATGGAAAACCTCAGCAGGAGACTCAAGGTCAAGCGGCCTCTTAATCCTGAGTGCCCCACTGTCTTTCGGAGGAATCTTGGGGTCTTTCTTCCCTCTGTTCCTTGCTAGAACAGTTTCTCTTTCTCTCCAGGTTACGGGTGACCTGTTCGATATCATGTCTGGGCAGACTGATGTGGACCACCCTCTATGTGAAGAATGCACCGACACTCTTCTGGACCAGCTGGACACGCAG